TATGCAAGAGTTTGACTTAGCATTCCTTTGTCACCCAGGCAGACAAGCTTCTGTCCCCAGAATTTCAACCTTCGGTGGAGCAGCTGATTCAATTTCTTCCTCAGAATAGACAAATTTTAATGTTTTCAGCTACATTTCCTGTGACTGTCAAAGATTTCAAAGACAGATATCTAGAGAAGCCTTACGTTATTAATCTCATGGATGAGCTTACTCTCAAGGGTATTACTCAATTTTATGCTTTTGTAGAAGAGAGACAGAAGCTGCACTGCCTGAACACTCTTTTCTCTAAGGTTTGTCCTCAAGTGAAACATTATCTTTCTATTTCTTTTGTTTATGAAAATCCAAGCATCTGATGCTCCATTGGCAGCTGCAAATCAACCAATCAATTATTTTCTGCAACTCTGTGAATCGAGTGGAATTGCTGGCTAAGAAAATCACGGAACTGGGCTATTCTTGCTTCTATATTCATGCCAAGATGCTGCAAGATCACCGAAACAGAGTATTTCATGACTTTCGCAATGGTGCATGCAGGAATCTTGTTTGCACTGGTAATGTTGTGATGCTCTTCAACTTTATTTCCTTTCAAACTCTTGTTTTGTAAATCTGCATCAATATTGATATTAGGACTTTGATATCAAGTAATGTGCTTGTCTTCGATGATGTATAACAAGAAATCATGGATCCTTTGTATGTTGTCATTATTTTTCTTTCCTTGAGCAAACTGTAATAATTTGGAACAAAGTCGTACAATCTGCTTGGAAGACATGTCATGCTAGTGCTTAGCTTGTGAATCCATGCTCGGTGAGTGCATGGTGGAGACCAGTGGCAGCAATCTAACCCGGGTGTAATGTTAAGGCCTCTAGGAATGATTCCTAGAGCTATCATTTTTTCCATATTCCTTTGTTGAATTCTCTTACTTTAACAGCCCAACCAGATTTATTCATTTTAATTTTTACATCCTATTCTCTTAACCTAAACCTTCCTATAGTAACTCTGCGTCACCTAGATCTGTAGATGATGCCAAAAAGTTCATTTGTTTGTTTTGTATTATGTGTTCTTTGCCAACTGCAGTTGAGTTTGTGGCCTGACCAATGTCTAGTGATTTTTAGGCTGGGTTTTCCCTAGCCCAATTGTCGGTTGTGGTCACACTTTTTCATATATGCTGGGATGCAAAGTTCATCTCTGCTGCAATACATAATCCTACTTTTCATCTTCTTTAGTTTTGCCCTTTTTTTTTTTCTTTCTTCTTCCTTTCTGTTTTATATTATTTATATGAATGGGAAGGTTGCACATTGGCTTGTGTATGCTTACACTGTCCTCCCGGCTTAAAGTTTGCCTCTTCTCATCAAGTCTTTTGAAGGCTGACTAGGTGAGCTGGGCTTTAGCCATGTTTGAGACTGCCTTGGCCTTGTCTAGACATATTTTATTTTAACTTTCAAAGGACTTGGGTGGGTTGGCTCATGGAGTCATGGGTGTTGCATTCACATAAAGATCAGTCAGGATAGGGGGGCACCCTAAAATCTGTTAAAAGGAAATTCCACTTCCTTAGCAGCTGATTATATTGAAGTTTTGCTTGCCATTGACAAATTCAAGCTTGTTCAATTAAAAGTAGATACAACTCATACGAGATGCCCTAATGTATTACAGAGGCTATTTTTTTCTTATTTTTTTGTTATTTTTTTAATGTCGGCAGATTTGTTTACGAGGGGCATAGACATTCAAGCAGTCAATGTGGTCGTCAATTTTGATTTTCCTAAGAACTCGGAAACATATCTGCACAGGGTATGTAGGATTTATTATTGAATTTGGGACATTGACTACGTTGTTTCTGATTGAAGACAGTTTCTCTTCTTAGGTTGGTCGTTCAGGAAGGTTTGGGCACCTTGGGTTGGCAGTGAATCTGATCACTTATGAAGACCGCTTCAATTTGTATGTATTTGTTTTCTCTTCCTTCAAGAATATACAGTCTTGCAGCTGGTTATAGCAACGTTGATTTGGGTTTTGTCACTACATTACAAAATTTGTGCTGTCTTTCAGGTATAGGATTGAGCAAGAGCTTGGGACTGAAATAAAGCAGATTCCTCCCCATATCGATCAAGCTATTTATTGTCGCTGATCTTCGATGAATGGGTCATGTTGGGACAATAGTAAGTAAAACAAGCAGCTCACTACGTACTCGTCTTAATGTAGTTTGTGTGCCTGATCTGCAAACAATTTGAGCTGAGTTGTTCATGAAACAGCTTAGGCTTGTTTCAATAACAAACTTGTCCCAAGCTTTGTTCACTTGAAAATGATATTAAAACTTTAAACTATCTGTATATATATTTATATTTAGGGGGATTTGGTCAAAGTCCCCTGATAATAAAACTTTAATGCATTAAGGACAAGCTCAAAAAGTTTTCTTTGAAAAGTTCAAAACATACTACTATTACCAAAATATACTTAGTGAGTAATTTAATATTTTAGACCTTAAAATAATATAACTTCTGATCTAGATGTCGATTTTTAATAAAATTAGTATTGTTAAAATCCGTTCATCAAGATCTATCAAATAAGATTCATGTTGACTATGAAATTCTTAAATATATATATATATATACCATCGAAATTAACGTAAATAGTAACATGTTACTCTGTTTGATAGTAACATGTTACTTTGATTTACAAGAACATTTTATTGTTACAAAAAACAGTATACATACTAAATGAACCAATCAAAAATACACATACACAATATTTGTAAACTTGTATAAAATAATAGAAGTGTTCCTAGTCAAAAGAGTCTTGCGAAATATATATATGCATGGGCAATATTGTCCAAGAAAAAAAAAAGAACTTTTACTCCGTTCTTGTTCAATTATGTGACTCCTCTTTAGAGAGTTTATGAAGCAAAATAAATTAAGTTGTCATTTTCACCAAATAAGGGTCGAATGGAGGGGTTTTGGCTAAATTTCCCTTATAATTATATGTTTGGGTATGTGTAAGCAAAATAAAAGTAAAGAAGAACCTGTGTACAAATCTGAATTCTCATTTTTTAAATACGCCCAGCCTGAAAAGGCCTCTACTCTACTTGTTTAGGCCCGTGGATAGAAAGGATATGCATGTAAGTGCTATGCTCTCATTCGATGGATTTGTTGCATTTTTTTTTGGTATATTGTTATGTATTTACATGTTTGATGTATATTAGTGGGATGCATCTAATGGCTTTTCATTAATTCTACTTACAGGGTGGTTCCCAAATCTCATCTAACTTCTTACCTTATTCCCAATCTTGGAAGTGAGGAAAAATGAAGTAGTATACTACCAGAGAGATTTGAAGAGCCTCAGAAAGATAGAGGTTAGTTAAAAGTCACTTGGAAGATTTAACATGTGCTGGTATTATTGCCAAGGCCAAACTGAGAAAACAATATTAGGGATTTGTTATTTTGTGTTTCTTACCTTTCTTGTTACATATGTCCTGTCTGGATAAAGAATGCATGTAATCAAGAATTTGTGGAGTCTGTTTGAGTTTGATCTTTGAGGGATTTCAGCCTGAATTTCCCGTTTAGATGGGCTTTATCTCTCTCTCTCTCTCTCTCTCTCACACACACACACACACAGACACACACACAGACACACACACACAATTGAAATATGGATTTTGTCATTACTGGAACAAAAACATTTTTTTTGGTCAAGTAGGGAGTAAAGTTGTTGGACAGAGAGACAAACGTCTTTTTTGAGACACAGGATCCCACCCCTCCCCACCCCACGCAGATGTATGCGCATACTAGTAAGAAATGATGGTGGATTGGTACTTAAACATGGTGCTGGTTTATATTAATCAAGTTGGTGATTTGGTAGTGACCTTTGACATGAGCTCTCATATCCATCTTTTTGAGAAAGGAAGGTAGAATGAAGGTGGGTGAGAGGTGGCTTGAGGGTTGTGCTCTGAAACTTGTTATATGGAACTCACACAGGCTTTATAAAGACGGCCAACTCTTGAACGAGTCAATTGTCAGATACCTTTTTATGTTCCTTTGATGCCTATTACATTTCACAAAAAAAGTGGTGGAATTGCACAAAAGAGGACAAATTAAAGCAATTCTTATATTATTATTATTATTATCGTGTTTAGTATGAGAATGGTGAAAAAGGAAAGAGGATGAAATTTCTTGTACTAGCATGGTAATTCAACTTCAATTTCTTGCAATATATATATATATATATAGGAAATATTTTTGAAAAAAGTTACCTAAAACATGACTCTAGAATTTATTCAAAGATGCAGGTATGTTTGTATCACTGAAGTGCCTAGACAGTTGGTAGCACATAATCTAGCTAAGGCAGCATCCACAAATACTGTCTTTATCATTGTCCTTTTGCAACTGACTCTGTTATTCACTTATATTTATGTGCATCTCATCTTTCTTAGAAAAAGGAAAAAAAAAAAAGAAAAAGTGAAAAAAGATGCAAATTATTTCATGTTAGTTATTGATTGTTTTAAAAATAAACAATTTAAGACCCAATTTCATGCTGTATTATTATGGATGAATATAGGAATCATGTTATAGAAATTTCTAGAATCTCCCAATCTCAATTTGTTCAATAACTTAAATTATCATAACCAAATGCATGTTAAGAAATAAAATTTTATTTACCTTATTTTATTTATCGTTAGATTAATTTTCTCTTACTTTAATTTTGTTTGATTTTTTTAAATATTCATTTTTAAACCTGGAAAAAGGAGGTAGTTTGTGCAACATTTGATAAAACTAGAAGTAGCTCAAGAAAATTTGAAATCCAGCTTTTAACTGAAAAAATAAATTACATAAAATTTTATCAATCAGAAAACATTGCCAAAGTATAAATAAACATTTTCAAAATTTAATTAAAAAAAATTGCCAATAAATTTTACCAAACGGGCTGTTCCATCAATGGTTCAGTCAGACTTCGCAGTTCATTTAAGTGAGGCAACAGTCAACACTTCATAAATCATGAAGACTAATGAACACACAATGGAAAAGAAAAGAAAAGGTATGGAATATATAAGGGTACAAGGCAAAAGTTCAAATTTTCAGTCTCACAACTCAACCATGTTTCACTTTCACTTATGAACAACAACACAATGAAATCACATTATGCACACCAAAAAAAGGACATTTACAAAACCAAAACATTACATTATTACACAAAACACCAATAAAACAAGCCTAATTAAGAACAAAATATGCAAACTATTAAAGTTTTAAATCCCATATTTTCAATTCCTCATTTGGTTTGAGCCTAAGAAAGAAAATTAGTAGCTAAAGCATCCAAAAAACCTTTTCGGTGTATTGCCAGTTGCACGGAATTTTGCAGCTACCTCTTCTACCTTGAGAACATCCTCCCCACGTTTGGCTTCAATCATCGCTCTCTTTTCTTCTGCTGCCTTGTGGATTTCGGCCGCCTTGTTCTTCATTTTCTCTGTATATTCTGCCTTCATCATTTCAATTTTTTCCTGCTCATATTTAGGTTTCTATCAGAAACAATATAAATGGATTTGTGAAATTACCCAAGTCCATTGTGTTTTTTGTTTATCTTTCTAAATCTAAATCCTCAAAGAAAACTGATGTATTTAGAATTTTCCTGGGAAAATAATGGTAGTTGCATATTTCTTTGATGTATTATAATGTTGGAAAATTTTCACTCCTAGTTGACTAACTTCAATCTTATTTTGTTGATAGACTATTGCAAAATAGATAGATTTGTTTGAAGTAATTTTCTTTTGCTGATCAAAACAATAAGTTTCGAATTTTTCCTTCTTTCGATTCTCATCATAATTAGCTGAAAAATTGATTGGCAAACTATCATACTTGAAGGTTTGAATTTAAGAAATATTATTCACCTCCATCTTCTTCAACTGAGCTTCTACGCATGCTTTTTTGCTGTTCTCCCATGATCCAATGGCTGACAACTTTTTGTATGCCCTGATTAGTGGTTTCAGACAGTGACGAGTTTAAGTTGCAATGAATCACGTATCAAAGCTTACTATCATAGAGAAATATATCCCATACATAGAAAAAAGAAAAAGAAAAAAAGAAGCTTATTCATCATAGAGAAATAAATTGCAGAAAATTATACTGATTTTCAAAATTGACTCTAATTATTATTAATGTGGTTCCAAGAGCAACTACTCCATTTAATACAAATGTGAATTGGTTTATGGAAATTGACATGGATATCAAATTGGAATTCAAACCAAGGCACCAGGCCATGAAAACGGTAAACAAAGAGCAACCCAGTGAGCGAAACTCCCGCCACTATGGGGTTTGGGAGGGTCTGATGTATAGAGTCTTATTCCAACATAAAGCCAGCAAGTGTAGGAATATAGAAATCAGTTACTAAATGTATATGAAAAGAAAACAATTTTTATGCATTCATGTACATATGTTGTGTTTTGTTTTGTTTTTGTGTTGGTAGTATCAACTGTTGAATCCCTTACACTAGTGAATTCATATTAAATATGATTTTGCATAACCCAGATGGCAATTATGTTAGAAATTTACATCTAAATTGATCTATGGTTAATCAAATCAAATCAAATCAAATCAAAGAAAAGAGGAGTTACAGCAATACCACCAGCACAAAAAGAGTAGTACACAAAAAGAAAAGAAAAGAAAAGAAAAGAAAATGTAATAAAACAAGAAGAATCATCGAAGAAGAAACGAAGAAGAAGACGACGAAGAATTGAACAAAGGACACTCACCAGAGTTGACTCAATGTGTAGCGTTTTGGGCTTGGTTGTAAGAGTAACTAGGTTAGGTTTGTTATTTTGAAGTGTGTGTTTGAAGATTGGCTTGTGCAAGTTGTTCCATTACACAAAGGCAAAACTGCAAATGTGCCTGAAAGATTGAAAATTTGAAAAGTCATTTGAAATTCTAAATTTGCTTTCCTCCTAACAGAAGAGTTTCAAGCTGTCAACTTTCACTTTCTATAAATATAGTTTATAAAAAGGCATTCAGCTTTCTCAAACATCATGCGTTGTGTTCCCAAAAAAAAAAAATCATGTGTTGTGGCAAAAATTGTTCCCTACTGAAACTCTACTTCAGTAACACAATTTACTGTTGTATCTATCAATAAGTGCTCTTTTGACATAAAAATCTATAATTACTCTGACATTAAAAAAAAAATTGAAGAATCACAACTAAACACTGCATTGAATTCCAGCCGGATCTTGGTTCCTTGTCCTCACAGAATGATATCCTCCTGTACACTAACATTAAGGGTCTTGTTTGGGAGCACGATGCTTTTAGTCACCACGACTTTATCTTCAACTGTCACAGCTTCTCCTGCATCAGAGAGAAAAACCCATTATTATGAGATGGCATTCTGCTTCGGACACACGAGACATGAGAAGGATAGGGTGATTACCAAGGATGGTGATTCCAAGCTTGGCATTGTAGTCTCCTTCAGATTGAACCACAAAATCAAAAGTAGGGTCAGTTGTAAAAACTAGAAAGAATGCACAAAGATTTGATCACACCAAGTATCAATACGTTTTTTAGCTTCAGTTGTCACAACAGATCGCCACTATTGGACTTGGGAAATCTTTTAAAATGCCCGGGATGATAGAATCATTAAAATTTACAAGTGGCAACAAATTATTGACAGAGACACAAAAAAATCTAGCATGTCAAGAGCTTCAACATATTGACATGTCAAAGACATTTAGAAGCTTTAACTTAATACCACACTGATAAAAAAGGCGAATCAATTGGCAATTTTAGGAATATCAAATGCTTTCAGAACAGTGAAAATGTGATCAAGCTTACCTGGGCACGTGACCATTTCCCAATAGATGATTTCCTTCCAACAATAGCATGCATAACTACTGCATTTTCCTGTCAGGAGATTATTAACATATTAATCTCAGGTCTTAGGTGTAACTGTTCTATAACGTTTTTCAACTCCTTACCTTTATTTAAACATCATCTAAGATGATGCAACTTATAAGCCTTACACCTGCTGCTATACGAACATTTGCTGAGATTGAAACATTAGGGCCAATCTGTTTAAATGAAAATGAACAAATTTAAATATACAAAATGGGAAAGAAAGGCTGAAAATCATGGAAAATATCCAATTCAGGATTCAAAACTAGTTTCAACATTCGGCATGGGTTTCAAAAATACTTGAAAAAGCACAGAAAGATAACCAATACTGTTGAGCAATGTGAAACAACTATTGGAAAGAGATGAGACAGAATGAATGCATAGCCAGTCTAACGAAAAAGATACAGTCCCAAAATAATTTCTACACCTTGATCTGGTGAAATGAAGCAAACTTACCCACATGTTAAAGTTGCCATCCCTATTGGTCAGTTTCTAATTATTGATGGCCACTACTGAATGTGTGTTTGTGCCTGTGTCTGTGTGTGTGTGTGTGTGTGTGTGTGTGTGTGTGTGTGTGTGTGTGTGTGTGAGAGAGAGAGAGAGAGA